GGTACCTGGAGATGCCCCCCCCATCCCTACAGACAGGTACTTGGAGATGCCCCCCCCCAGACAGGTACCTGGAGATGCCCCCCCCATCCCTACAGACAGGTACTTGGAGATGCCCCCCCCCAAACAGGTACCTGGAGATGCCCCCCCCCAAACAGGTACCTGGAGATGGCCCCACCCGTCACTTCCCTCAGCAGCCGGCAGTGGTGTGGCCCAAATTCCAGCAGCTTCCCGTACATGTTCTGCAGGGCGGGGGGGCCAGACTTGGTGCACTGCTCTACCACAACCTGCGGGGGCAGTATAAGGCTGACGGTGGGGGAGGGCACCAGCAGAGGGGGCGGGCCCAGCAGAGGGGGCGGGCCCAGCAGAGGGGGCGGGCCCAGCAGAGGGGGCGGGCCCACAGCGCCGGCACCTGGGTGCGGGTGATACGCGGCTCCCTCACCTCCTCCACATAGGGCTTGACCAGCGCCTGCCCCACCAGCGCCTCGGCGTCCCGCGTCTTGTCGATGGTGGCATAGGTGCGCAGGCAGTGCCTCACCATGTCCACACTGGAGGTGCGCAGACCCTCCACTAGCAGGCCCTCCAGGGACTGCTGCAGCATGGCCGTGATGCCGGCAATGCGCTGCCATGGAGACGGGTGGGGGGGCGGGGGGATTACACCGCTATTCATTACTACCCCACACAAGCAAAATGGTGCAAAAACAAAACCGTATAAAGTTAATGCGACGGCTCAGAACCAAAGGCTACCGCTGCTGCAGTCCAGCGTGAGCCAAACCCGCCCCCTCGGTGTCCCAGTGCCCCATAATGTCACACTGCAGTGGGACTCACCGGCCGAACGCGGTCCACCAGTGGCATGCCTTTGCTCTGCACTGCGTGGAACTGCAGCTGGTTAAACTCAGTGGCGATCCGCTCCAGAATCTGCCCGGCGAGCGGAGGGCTAGACAAACACAGAGAGCCAACGCAGTCTGGTCAACAGGGGGCGCCGACAGGGAGGGGCGACACACTGGCAATAACAGCATGCCTTAACGAGCCAAAGAAAGCAGTTCATTTTGTCATGTGTTTTTTCCTAAACTGGCAAAATTACACAAATAGACTGAAAAATACACACTATGCTAACGGTGGTTTTAAACCTCAGTTGCATCTTTTCATTGACCATGAACAACGGGGTCAACACTGCCAAAATATTCAGCTTTCATCAATCTTGTGATGTTTTGGCATAGAGTGAGTCTAAATTAAGTCTCGTCAACAAAAGGCACAATTATTAAGTCATACAGAAACACAGCACTAGCAGACGCTCATTACCTAGAAATCCAGTTATACCTACTAAGAGATTTCAGCAGTAAAGGCATTGAATCAGTGGGGACTACTGACCCCTGCTGGTCAAAATGTCCCCTTTACGAAATTCGTTAGTAATAGCAGGAGAAACTGAAATAAGCCAAGCAGACTGCTTTTCTACACGGACACTCTCGTGGAACATCAACGACATTCAGGGCCGGAGAACTACCTGTTTACTTCTGGAGAGGCCGTGTCCTTGGAACTCTGAGTGTGGAGAATCTTCTCAATCTTCTCCACTGATCTCACAACTTGGATAAGTCTCAAAACACACATCTGTAAGAGTGAGAGAGAGAGCACAAAATAAAAATATACAAACACGTTCCCCATGAAATAGTTGCTTTTATGTGAAAATAAAGACTTGTTGCGTTCCGAGCTTGTATGAAGCGGCAGACTGAGCCCAGAGTATTAACAGCACATGACCCACCATGAGGTGCGTGTATACGAGGTCTATTTAAAGCAAATGGCTCTTTACACTGATTTACCTTCTTCTTCTGTATATCATCCTGCTTGCATAACCTCTCGTCTATGGCTTCAATGACTTCATGTACAGATGACCGGAGACTCTTTCAGAGAGAAATCGGCCACAGATACAATGAGCAGGAAGTCACTCAGGGACAGATCACGACAACCAAAATACAGCAGAAGGGATGGATAACAGAATTTTACATGGGGATCAAACTAAGATCCTAATGAAAGGGCAGTACTGGGCTGCTCACCAGCACTTCTTCCCGTAACTGGCCAAGGGGAACAGACAGCTGGCTGAGGGTCTTATCCATGCCAGCCTGATGGGGGGAAGATCAAAAATGCAATTAACAACATTGTAACTGATACATTCTGTCAGGCATCACTTTGTCTTTGAAACAGCCTGTGATAGCAGTAGGGTATTTAAATACTAAATGATGGTTATATAATAATAATAATAATAATAATAATCATAATAATCCCTTTAACATCACCGTCTAACTGTATGGTGATTTACAGTAGTAGCAAAAATTGTGGAATCACTTCCAATTTTTAGAGATTGCAGAACTTTATTCAACCGTTGCTCCTGTTACTTATTTAATTGTCCAATGATTGATAATTGTAACATTCTTTGATTGTTTATAAACATTACTGCCAAAATTTGTGTAGTCATTTTTAAAGCGCAATGCCAAAAATGCTAGGTGTTTCCACAACTTTCATCACTAGTTCATTAAATCAGCTAATAAAGCCAGACAATTTAAAAATATATCTTAAACTACAGTCCTTAAATTGACTGAACATGTATATCCTTTATGTAAATGATTTCCCTTAAGTGTACAAAATCTTAGAGCCTGCTGGTTTTCAAAAAGATGTTTGATGAAGTTTACTGAATTTTCACACAGATAAAACAAAAAGCCTTTTAATAAACCACTGTACTAATAAGTACCAGCTTGTGTTAAATAATAGGTGACATGCTTATGCATATCAGTACTGCTCCTGAAACTTATACGGACCATCAGAAGGACAGACAGAACAAAGACTCACCAGGTTTGTGGAAAGGTTGACGAAGTCTGCATAGTCCTTGTTGATGAGCTCCACCATGGCCGTCTTGAGGAGCTTGTAGTAGAGCTCCAGGTCCTCACGCATCTCCTCCAGCTGCACACGCTTGCGGCACTCCGCCACGAAGTGGTCCACGTCGAAGTCATCCTGCCCAGGAGCACGAGAAACAGAATCTAGCAGCGAAAAGGAAAAAGGGCTCCAGAGCCACACAACTGCCGATATTTAAAAGGACAAGGTACCGAACAGAAACTAGGAGGCAGTAGAACAAAAAGTACAAGATCTCCTTTTGAGCAAGGAAACATTTTACTTTAAACAATGACATGGGTAGCTTAGGTCTTCCAATAATAGGAGTACAAGCTTACATATTCTGATAATATTGGGTACAAGCTTACATATTCTGATAATATTGGGTACAAGCTTACATATTCTGATAATATTGGGTACANTACAAGCTTACATATTCTGATAATATTGGGTACAAGCTTACATATTCTGATAATATTGGGTACAAGCTTACATATTCTGATAATATTGGGTACAATACAGAAGACACGGTATAATGTAATTAGAAAGTGCTGGTTAACAGCAACCTGGTGAAAAAACAACCAGGTGGTGCAGGAAAAGGACCAAACACAAGAATATATTATCCACAAAATGATGAGCGGAGAAAAATTATATCAGTATCCCTCAGCCATACCCAATAAGATGCTGAGAACCACGACATGCTTTGAATACAAAGCTACTGTAATAATTCGTCTCAATGGTCAAGCAATTTTAGCATAGGAAAACCGGGGTAACACATTCAGCGAACTAGCTAGCAGTGCTTTAATGAAATAGTAATTAGGCTGACAGACAGGAAACATGCAACAACGTTAATGGCCAGTTAATACCCAGCTACCGTTGCAAATAAAAGCATGACGCTTTAAAGGGCATTCTTTTAAGGTTTCACTAAAGAGTAGCTATTAATGCTAAGCATTTTAAAGTCATAAAATAAAGTTTGTGCGTTTCCTTATTGACGCATCCTGCTGTCAAAGTAGATGAAGGACCCAACAGCCAACCGGAGTCCGACAGGGCTCATTTACAGAAACACTTTCTTACCTTCATGAACACCTCTCTGTCAAAACACAAAGCGTCAGGCCCCTTCGGAAGATTCATCCTCAATTTACGCCCACCTTAAATGACAAAACACGCTTAAAATATACGAAATGATGTTTAAAATCTACTTCATTATTCCAACTGACAGAAATCTGGGTTTAGAAAACGCGAACACTTCCGCCAACATGGCACTAGAAAACACCATAGAGGGTGTGCATTATGGTGATCTGTACCCGAGAGAAACGCGAAGCGCCACCTAGAGGTCTCCAGCCAGCATGGCAACCGCACGACCTGTACCTGCATTTTCTTTGCTTGAAGAAACTTCTTAGAAAGCTGCAGTAATTATTTAATGTAGCTCCAATTTAATTATATATCTGGTATCACTGACTCACTAAATATTTCAAGAAACATGGTTATCTACACCAGGTAATTGGATTTACGCTTCTTAATGAACCAGTATTGTATAGCCCATATCTTCGTATTATGTATAGGCTTAATGCATCATGATGTATTTTGCTTGTTGTATTTCTATTAATAGTAATTGTAGTATCAATATTTTTCTTCTATTAGGCATGTTCGGGATGGGATTAATTTGTGATAACCGGACGGTTATTTAAAATCGGGTCATCCCGCTATTTAGAGAAGTGAATCCGTAACTGACATACAGCAGAATCGCTTTTTTGTCATTGTACATTCACAACGAAACTACAGAAAAAAATTTGCGAAGCAGTTGTAATTGCAACTTGAATTTCGTATGAAACTGTAATGTATAAAAAAATCTTGGTCTCAGTATGTAAATAGGGAAGGAGCTGGCGAATCGCGCGCGTGTGCGCGGCGGAGTGTGCATGCATTAGGATGCGCGTCCCTGTGTTTGACGTTTATATCAGGCATCCGTGCCATTGGACAGCAGTAGAAGAGCCGGGTCAGCTGATCGGTGGGGATGCGACGGGCTTTAATGAGTCGTCTCTAGTAAGAATACTTTGCCCATACCCGATGTGGGACTGCGTGATAATAATATTGATTTTCTTTTCTGCTGGACATCTCAGGGGGAAATTCAGTACCCCTTGAAAGGAACAGCTCTGCTCTCGTAAAACGCCTTCTGGTGGAATACCATTCCCGGAGATTCTCCCTACATGGGCGTCATCGGTGCGCAAGGGTAGGGACATCAAACTGTAGGAGTGTGGGGTGTAAGGTGTGAACGGCTGGCTTTTGTTTTCTCTTTTTTCGTCCTCTTTTTCTTTTGGTGGAGCGGTCCCGGCGGCGTCCTCAGCTTCGCCCCCTTTCCCGGCGGCAGTAACGGGCGATGGCGGAGTGTGAGAGGAAGACGCTGTCACCCCTGGAAGCGGCCCGCTCCCGTTACGAGAGCCTGCAGATCTCGGACGATGTGTTTGGGGAATCGGGGGATGACAGCAGCGAGAACCCTTTCTACAGCACTTCTGGGGACTCCAACTCGGATAACTACACCTCGGAGATCAACGCCGACGACATTAGGATCTGCGAGGTTGGAGGCAGCCACCCTGGAGCATCAGGACCCAATACCCTAGAAGAGGAAGGCTGGAGCGATACCCTCCGAGACATTACGGTCCCCTCCTATAAGGGCACATGTGGTATGTCGCTTTAAGGAATATGTTTCAAATGCAATAATGTGAGCAGATATTAATTGGTAAAAAATCATTAGCCAGACATAACGCATCGTGCGGTTATTTCGGGTTTAAGGATGCAGGTGCGTACGTGCGAGCGAAAAGGCAGTAAGATATTTATACACTCTATATTTTAATAATTCATATATATGGCCTTAGATATCCTATTTTTAGTGACGGGGCTAAAATTACCCCCCACCTTTCCCACGGTAAAGTTGCATTACGGGATACTCACAGACCCCAGGAAAGGAGCCATTTCACTGGTGTGCCTTTGGACATCATCTCGGGTTTGCTTTGCAAAATGTGCATAACCTGCGTGGAAGTAAAAGAGAACGTGTCACCATAAATAAGGACCGTATTACAGAGGCTATCCACTTGCATGCTGCTTTGGCCATTAAACAGTCCGTATATGGGGTCGGTGTGTATGTGTGACGCTGATAGATCCGGCTGGACTCTCCGTGCCGGGGAAACAGCCACATGCGGCGATTTATACGGGAGCAGCGGTGCCACTTACGGCCAATGGGTTTTTATCTGCGGACAATTGAGGGTAGCTATGGGGGCTCCGAGAGATGAGCACCGTGCCTCCCCACTAAAAATACCACTGGTTAAAAATATCCGTCACGGATGGTACATTTTAATTAATTCCCAATCGCCTGTCCCTATATTTCCTAAGAAACCCAAAAGCGTAGTCTTTTATTGTCCACGGATTTGGTTTTAAGGATGTGTATGATTGATTAAAAAAATAGAGTAAGAAAGGGAGAAAGGGCAAAAATATGTTTTTATGACAAAATTCCTTAAACAGGGTGGCAGACATGCGCTTTGGGGAAGCGAAGCCCATCTGCCTCGATACCGCCGCGGATCTTGCATGGAAACTTCATGATAACATTATACGGTGACAAATGCGCGTGGGACTATGTCATCTGAAAACCAAAATGCAAACGGGGACGCCAAGGCGTTTCTAAGGCGTCCATGTCGTGACACCTCGTTGGTGAAGCCGCTGCGCTTCTGACTGCATGGTTTTATTGGTTTTATGCGCCGGTTAAATTCGCCCTGCACTTACTCCGTACTTTGAAAGAAAGAGCATCTGAACCCCGGGGCCATCACGACAGGGGGCGGCATATTTGGGGCGATTGATCAGACAAAATTCACCACAGTTTACCACAACAGGTATCAGTGAAACAAACTGTCACCCTCTCCGCCGTGCCACCCCCGGGCAGAATGCCGTGCATGAAAGCGATTACCGCGCGCTGTGAAGAGTGACCCGGGACTGGGGCGCTGATTAACTGCCCGGCTTTGGGATAGACTCCAGCGCAGACTAACAGATGGTTACCTTGATGACTGAGTAAACGCTGGCTGCTTTTCTTCCTTCTTGGGTGAACTGCTCTTGCTATCGGGTGGATGAGGGTGTTTCACGTGACCTTCACCCTGTCAAGAAGAGCGGAATACAGCCTCCGAAGATGGCAGCCCAAGCCTCTGTAGCGTTAGCTGTCCTGCACATCAGAGCCGGTGTTTGGAGGTGATATGCACTCCCTGCACGCTCGCGACCCAGACAGAACCACAGGAAACCAATAATGTGGCAGGGCCTTCTGACAGACTGCGGGGCACAACCTGTTGTTTGGGCATCTGTCAGGCAGTTACAGACGTGTGAGGACAGGTTCCCCGCATCCTGCACTGTCCTTCAGCAGGAGACAGAGGAGCATTTCCGTCTCACGCTCAAATGACGGGGATGTTACCTGGGATGTGCTTTTTGTGCTGTTGGGTTTCACTGGTGGGGTTCACCCCCCAGTAACGCTTCTCATGGATGGGGCTTGTATGTTGTTCTACGGTGTTCTCGTACCATTGATCATAGAAGCGTGTCGGCCGGATCTTTAACGACCTTAATGAACATAGTGTATCACAGCGACATGGTGCAGTACAGGTCAAATGGCATTTTACACTCATGGTGTTAATGCAACTGGGTGTGGGTTCACAGCCCACTGCGCCGATCAGAAGGGGAAATAGCCCTCCCTCTGGGGCCTCTTACCTCATTCTGCTCACAGCTGGTCTGGCTGCCACTGGAGGGAGGTGCTGCAGACTGTCCCCACTGTTACCCAGAGACGCGAGCTGATGTGAGGGCGGGGCAAGGTTGTGCCATCTGTCTGTGGGCCCTGGGGGGTGCAGCCCTGATAGGCAGTGTCCTTGACCAGTAGGTGATGCCTTCAATACAGTCTGCTCGATATTGAAACACAGACATTTATTAACCCCAGGACAGGCATACCCAACACGGAGGGGGGGGGGGGCAGTAGTAGGTGATTGGGATGCACCTGCATGTGCGTTGAGACCAAAGAGCCCCATTCCAGCAGCAGTATCAGTGCTTGAGTCCTTTGAAGGCTCTTTATAATCCGGCGCTTTGGCTGTGAGGTACTTTTCATTCTGTCTTTTTATTTCAGGGAGTGAGACACATTCTGTCTTTCTGTTTCAAAGTGTGACACTCTGTGCCAGCAGTTGTGTGGGGATTTGCATTTTTATGTGTTTATCAGACACATTAATCCAGTGCAGCGTACATTTGAGAAAGCAGGGTCAGTGTTTGGAGCATCTGGGGGGTGGGGGACAAGGGCACTGCTCAGGGACCCAATGGTGATATCAACTTTGGGATTTGAACCTACGACCTTCCGAGCACAGACAGTGTCCCTGAGCCACACAGCCCCCCTGGATTTACTGTTATTATCTGGCAAATGTGACCCACACAGTGGGGGGGGGAAGGCAGGACGTGTGAGTCTGTGACATCAGCGAGACTAACGGGAGCGGCGGCCCCCTGAGGCCTGGGCTGCGGCGCAATACTCATGCATTGGTGCCTGATGGGATTGACAAGGAAATGAAAAGGAAGATGAGCAGATCGGCACCTCTGAGAGCAAACGCAGAGATGAAAAGGGTCCATGCGAGTGTTTCGGGCAACAGTGTCCCCGGCAAGTGATTTCCGGTCGCTAAACGTCGCTTTAAATCGATGGGGTCGATGCTCGGCGGTGTGCGGCCGGTGTGCGGTGCTGTGGAGAGGGGGGGACAGCGTGTCTTCAGGTGCAACCCGATGGCCAAGAATGGGCTCAGAACCAGAAACCGAACGAGTACAAGCAGCTGGGATAGCAGGTCCAGTTCTGCATCTGATTCACAATTCATCACGGCAGAAATTTGGTTTAATCATCCATCCATCCATCAACATAATCATTTATCCAGTTAGAGGGGGTGATTTTGGAAAGTTTAAGGTCGCCCTGAATAGGGCACCAGTACATGACTGTTCATTAATTAGCAAGGTGTCATGTGGTTTTAATAGAGTTGGATATTTAATTGTCCTGCTTAAGGCCATTATATCAGTCACCAGCCTCCTCCCCTCCAACAACAAGATGACCCAAATAGCAGTTTCTTAAATGTGTTAGAGAAATTTGCTCGGATTAAGCAAAGCTGTTATTTTGACAGCCGTGTTTAAAATGTTGAAATAAAAGTCTCGCCTGTAATAGAATCTCATGGCACAAAATGGCAAAGACAGCAGGATAAGGGTCTTAAACACATTTTCTACACAAACATTAAAGCTTCCTGCATTGTGCCCCCAAAATGCGAAACATCTCCTTCCCCCAGAATCCTCTCCAATCCCCACGTTCTGAGATTTACATGCTGTTTCCTCTCTGCAGATGAAGGTGCTTTCCTGCGTTCTCGCGAGAGGCTTTAGCTGAGGGAATCCCTGGAAACGTGTCAATGACATAGAAAGCCGTACTACCGAACTGGAAAGATATCAGCAAAATTGCCACCACTGTATCTGAAGGACGTTCCTGTTTAACAGGAGTGTAACAGTGGCCAAATCTGCTGTGTATATCTGGAGATAGAACCTGCAGGTTCTCTTTGATGAATGCATCCCCATCTCGTCCCTTTGAGAAGGCCATCAAACAGAAGTCATAAAGCTGTCTGCCGTGTCCTCAGTAAGGCATGTCCCGCTCCGCTTCAAAGGCAAAACCAACATTTTTCAAAGTCCAGCCATGGGCCTCATATATGCGCAGAAACAACACTGGACTTTAAAAAATCCACACCAAATCCAAACATAAAAAAGAAATGTTCAGGATGTGCATTAAAAAACACAAACTTGCCCTTCTGCCTTTCCTGAAGGTCCAGTGAGATACTGCGTGGGCTTTTCCACCATTTCTGATCTGTACACGGAATATGCTTCCAGCAGATGCTGATGCTGATGGCAGTAGAGGTGTGTGGAGCTCCATGGGTTAGTGATCCTTACCCATCACCAGTAGGTCGTGGGTTCTAATCCCGTGATTGGCAGAGTGAACATTACCGTTGGGTCCTTCAGCAAAGCCTTTAGTCCTGACTGCTCAGGGGACGGTGACTGACCCTGCATCCCTTTGGATAAATGTGTCTGAAATCCTGACAACTCTACTTATAGGTTTAGTATCTACATTTTTTTCTGTGTTTGATGGTAAGGGGGGAGCTTTGTGCCGCGTCACGTGACACAGAACATAGGATGCATTCCTAAAAGTGAGCGGATTCCCTCTGCTGACTGCTCTGTCACACAGGTGGGATTGGGACCCTTGAGATACGAAGGGAATCGTCGTCTCGATTGAAATGGGCTGATATCCTTCCTAATCTGAGAGTAAGGTTGGCAGAGTAGAGCCTAGGTCACACTCCACTTTTCCGCGTGTGCTTTTAGGCTGCAGTGGCAGCTTGTATTCATACTACACTTGACTGCGGAAGCAGACGGTCACGGTCGGTGCTGCATACAGCAGTGATATTCCACCAGACCGGCAGAGGGCAGATGTACAAACACAAATACAAGTAGTGCAGTGAAACTAGTGAACTTTTATCAACGTTTTTAAAGTTATTAATCAAGACTTATGCGGTATTACGGTAATAAGGTATACCACAGTATTTTGAAATCCTTATAAGATTAGACCCCAACCCCCACATCTGCTCAGCGAATTTTATTGCCAAGACTTCAAAATGCTGGAATAGTGCTGCTTTTTAAATTACCGCACACCTCAGTATAATGTCTGGACAATGTGAGAAGTTAGATATGTGTGTACCTCTGACCCTCCTCATACAGCTGCTCGCATAGCTAGGACAACAACAATAATTCTTCTTCTTCCACTCTTTCGTTGTTGACTGCTGATCTGTGATAGTCCACGCTGCCACCTACTGGAACCACCTAATCAATTACCTTGCACATATGCGGTTGATGCGCACGGACACGCACGGTTACTGATAGATATAAAAATGTGGGCTGCATGCGCACCAACCCCTCGTGGCAGAATTTACGTCACGTCCCCCTGTCCGCAACCGCAAGCACACACAGAAAAGTGAAGTATGAATTGGCTTTAAGGGGCAGGCATCTGACCACGGAGCAAAAAGTCTCATGATTAACATGAATAATGTTACGGAGTGTAAAAGTTCAGGGAAAGAACTGCCCGGGCATTCAGTCAGACATCCAGCCCGACGCATCCGCCTTCCAGAATGGGAATTCAGTTACCATGGTAACGCTCATCAACCGACATGCGGGGGAGTGTAATGTGGGGGAGGGTTCTGAGAATTTTTTTTCTTTTTTCCAAAAGCGCATGGATTAAGTTCAAATCATTTTCCAGTTTATAAATGAATCGTTTTTTTGGTACCTGTGCTTGAAAACACAATTTCAGCGTAATTTCTGCCTAGAAAGACACTCTGTGAAGCAGGAGAGCGGGTGTCAGGGTAGCGCTGGGGTGTGACTAATGTCTTCCCCAGCGCCGGCGGAGAGGGACCTGGGTGTCACATCCTTGTCCTACAACCTTGATCGGCTGGCAGCTTCTGGTCAAACGAGCAGCCCACAGAGAGCTGCCACAATCTCCTGTTTTAGATGCAGAGATGTCTTCGCTTGGCTTTCACGCTGCTCTTCCAGGCCGAGTGGAAGCCAAGGTGATACTTTCTCCTCTGAGAAACTGTGTCCAAGCTGGTCCAGGTCAGCTGCGTTTCGCTGAGAGAGTGACTGTAAACGCTCCACTTCTTCCAGCATTTTCACCTCCTCAGACTCTCCTCCAGGTTATTAGGATGTGGGTTTGGTCCTCAGACTCTTCTCCAGGTTATTAGGATGTGAGTTTGGTTGATGTCTCCTTGACGTCCTGAAGGCCATGTCCTGCTGTTAGCAGAGCCATTACCTGTCTCTGGAAGGACTAGTGTTACACTGTTCCCCTCTCTTTAAATTATTGATAATTTTGCAGGGTTTTTTTGCTCTATGTAAATGATGCATGCTGTACCCAGTCCATGAGGAACGTATTCTGTACGCAGGTTGGGTCACAGCTAACGGAAGTGTTTGCTTTCATAACCACTAATCCGCTAACTTCAAAGTTTAATTTGACAATTCTTAACTGAGAAACCACTAAAAATTTAGCAGAAGCTAACAATAACCACCAACTTTTATTATATATGAATTTATCTTCGGTTTCGTTTTGGGCCCTGAAACCTTTAAAAACATACAAACATAGAGAGCTGAAATTCTAACCTGTTTAGCAATTAAGTTATGCAGGGCTGGAGTAATTAGCTGGGGATATTTAGGACTTACCCAACTGGGATCACTGGATTCTGTAGTGATTACCTGGGGTGTGTGCGTGTCCGTCTGTCTGCAGGCCCCACGCAGCGCATGTCGGCCACAGCCACGGCCATCGACTTCTTCCAGCTCTTCGTGCCCGACAATGCCATCCAGAACATGGTGACGCAGACCAACATGTACGCCAAGAAGTACCAGGAGCGCTTTGGCAGCGAGGACGGCTGGTGTCCTGTGACGGAGCAGGAGATGCGCGCCTTCCTGGGCTTCGTCTGCTCCACCGGCGTGCACCGCTGCGAGTCCGTTCTCAGCATCTGGAGCAGCGGCTTCTTCGGCAACCGCAGCATCGCGCCGCGTATGAGCCAGTCGCGCTTCGAGAAGATCCTCAAGTACTTTCATGTGGTGGCCTTCCGCTCCAGCCAGGGCAGCCAAGGCCTCTACAAGATCCAGCCCTTCCTGGACTGTCTGCAGCAGGCCCTCACCTGCACCTTCCGGCCCTCACAGACACAGGTGAGGGTGGCCCTCCATCTGCCCGATCACCCCCTCAAACAAACAGACATTTATGACTGTGTAAACATGCTGAGAGCCAGGGCTCACTCAGATATTTATCTGGTTATTTATTAAATATAAATATTAATTGGATAGCTCGGTAGATATTGATTAGATACCTCCACCCACCCCCACAACATCATCTTGTGATTGGCCCCCATATATATAATTTTTAAAACTTACTTGCCGTTTTTTTTTTAACCGTCGTTCACCAAAGGGGTCTCCTACGCTCCCAGAGAGGGGCACTGTTTAAGATGTTTAAGGGATCGCTTTAAACAGCAGTCCTGAGATCAGAAATTAAACCAGACAGTAAACCCCCCTCACCCCCACTGATCTGCCCTATCTGAGCAGGCCAAAAAGGGCCCAGACACTTTGGGGCCCCCGGCAAGGTGAGCCGAGTGAGTTTCACCCCCAGGAGAGAACCTGTACTGAGCCTGTTCCTGGAGATTTAAATATGCATCGCAGATGAGTTCGAACATGGTCCCTCTCAGCCACAGACGTCACACGGCGCATGACCAGGATGCGGTGATTAATCCGATGGCCAACCTGAAATAACAGTTAGTAATGACACACTGAGATCTTGCAATTAAATGCTGTTGAAATATAACTATGTGGCATTTATTATCGGAATGACCCTTTCTGAAAGTGTGTTCTTACAACGCGTGATCGTCCGTAGTCCCGTAAATTATCAAGTAGTTGTGAGGATGAGTCTGATTTACCGCGTGCTGCTCCCATTTAGGAGCCATGCGTCGCATTTCATGCGCGATGCCTGTTAGCGGAGTGGGCGCCGGCGTGTGGCAGTGCGTAGGGAGTTCAGTGTGCCACTGTGGAGCTGGCAGCTTTAAAACCAGGCATCTGATATCTGACCCTGTAAACACTGGTGGGCTGCTGCCGACAGTAGAGCTGATTGCTAACCAGGCTAAGCTCTGTGTCTGTGTGTGCTGTCCTCACGAACATACGTCGGAGGCCCGCGAGATCCCATCTGCGCCTGCAGCCATCCCGCGGGCCGCCAGGGCTCATGACACGTGGGCCATCCCCGGGGAAGTGACTCGTCACGCTAAGTTACACCAAAGCTCAGCGCGTTGCCATGATGGGAGACCGTATCTGCGTGCCAAGACGAACCGGCGGAAGCCAAAGCTAGACCGCGCAGCCACCGCCCTGTTTTGCGGTTGCTAGGGACAGAGGAGCTCCGTTTTGCACGGATCACTGGTCTAGATCACCTCCATCAGCACACACGGTTATGAGTCTCTCCGCCATGTTGGTGAGTCAACGCAGACGGGCAGTGAGCGGGGCACCCCGTATCTGCCCCCCTCATGAAATCACATGGCAGGGTGTAGTGAGTGGCACCTCGGGTGGGGGGGTGGATTCAGCATTGAGGACGAACACGCGTTTCATAACACGCATACAATAGCACGCATGCATGCGCACACACACACACACACACACACACACACACACCCACCCAGCTGGAGGTGTGAGTCAGTCTCCTCGCAGCCCGTGGGTGACTCGGTGACAGCCACAGCAGACGGCTCGTCACACGCAAGCTGTGTCGTGTTGGAACCCGTCCTCACGGTCCCTGCTGTCCTCGCTGGGACTTTGCTGTCATATTCACTCCATTTAGAGCCAAACCGAGGTGGTATCACTGAACTACATTAGCTCAAAGGCTGTCTTAAAAAAAGATAACTTTTGTTATAATAACTTTTTCCTTACGAAAGGAAACTGCCTTGCACAAACTTTTTCAGAAAAAAAGGGACGTCTGAGGTCTCCAAAGAGATGCATCTCTCCCCGTTAATGGCCACAGTCTGTGAATAGTGACACAGAAGCGCTCTGCTAATTATCAGAAGGTTTCTCATTGCAGTGTGAATACCTGACCATCGCCAGCATCCGTGCAGCCTGCTACACGATGAAGGAAATCCTTTAGCATATATAAATATTAAATTGTGGTATTTGCATCCTACAAATGGCTCCAGTTTCAGAGGCGCTTGTCTACATCAGTGTTTCCCAACCCGGTCCTCAGGAACCCACAGATGGTCCACGTTTTTGTCCTCTTCCAGCTCCCTGTCCTGTCAGTCAGTCCATGTTTTTGCTCCCCACCGGGAGCTGGGAGGATGCAAAAATGTGGACTGTCTGCGGGTCTCCAAGGACCGGATTGAGAAACATTGGTCTAGACCATGGGGAAACAGTAAAAGTGGCGGCTTTTACAGGCACTCAAGCGATACAATTTTGTGGGGCCTCCAAGGTCACTACACGCCAAAAACAACAAACCCACCCAGGAGACTACATGCACCAGGAAGTGACACACTGAACCGTTTACTTGATAACCACAAGGGGGCACATCGGTTAAAGTAAACATGAGGTTGAAGGTCTTTGCTCTTCTGCATTTTGCCCAGGTGTTGCACGAGCCCCTGATTGACGAGGACCCCGTCTTCATCACCACGTGTACCGAGAGGGAGACACGCAAGAGGAAGAAACGGAAATTCAGCCTGTGGGTGCGCCAGTGCACCTCCACGGGGTTCATCTGCCAGGTGGGAGGCTGTTCAGGGACAGGGTGCTGACCGGCGCCCCCTAGAGGCATAGCCATGGCATAACCGGTCACCATTTAAATACACAGCTTTGTACTTGGAGTAGGAACAGTGCATGAATCAGAGAAATCTGTGATTCAGAGCAGGAGGGGGTGAGAACGTCCCTGTAGATAATGGTCGGTGAGAACGTCCCTGTAGATCGTGGCCGGTGACAACGTCCCTGTAGATCGTGGCCGGTGACAACGTCCCTGTAGATCGTGGCCGGTGACAACGTCCCTGTAGATAACGGCCGGTGAAAACATCACTGCAGGTCGTGGTGAGACTGCAGGCAGGTGTGTTTGGACACATATTCCAGCTCTGGAATCTGGGGGCTTTCTGCATGGTGATGACCCCCCCCCCCCCCCCCATTAGCAATCGCAGCCAGGACTGGCTGCTGGCAGGAACACGCTGCGATGCGGCCTGGTGGCTGCTTAGACTCTGAACACAAGCAGCAAACTGAAACTGTTCTCAGACCTAGAGATTTGATGAAGAGTATAAAAGGTGCAGATGGGATGGCGTAACCATGGTAACATCGCGCTTCTGACAGGAAGCCATTTAGGGTGAGGGACTGAGGGCATCTGGCCAATTGGCTCCCCCCCACCCCTCCAGTCGGGAAATAAAAAAGCCATACGACCCCCCTGCCCCTCCCGTTACTGGATTAATGGTAGGCGGGTGGGGATTCCCAGAATGAACTTTTTATTCTTGGTCCTGTCTGTTATAGATGCCTTGTGGTGCCAGAGATATTTTACAAAAGACAAGAAACTTCAGGACCTCTTTGTTATGCTTGATCATACAGCTTTTGGGGGGGGGGGGGTTGCGTGGGATGCTGTGTCTCTGACTGCAAGGTCACCAACCCAGGGACGGCTGGGTGGTTTGGCCGTGGGGCCCCTGACCGAGACCTTCAACCGCTCCTGCTCCAGGGACCTCCGGCCCTGCTTTACCCCCCAAGCAGGTGACCTCGGAAGACCAGCCCGTCACCGGCGATCGCTGGGAACCAAAATGCCGCGCAGAGAAACGGAATGGAGCCAAATCTAAAAACCTTCCTTCTTGTCACCTTCTAATTAGGACAAAGCAGCTGTAAGACGATGAAACACCTGATTAACAAATGGATAATTAGCACTACTATAATGATGTTAACAGTCAGCACCCTGATTAGAGATCATACTCCAAGCAGGGCTCCTTAAGCTGTGGATACAAAATAACCTCTCTGTGAATAAAATCCAGACGTGTAACATGCATATTCCCGTGTTACATTAGGCAGGAGGGACACAAGGCGCTTAAGTAGGATTGCTGTTTGTGGGTCTCTTTTCCTTTGACATTTTTCTTTGGGCCAGCAGGTGGTGTAACAGTTAAGGAACTTGAGCAGATTATTTTAGTATATATTCATCAGTGTTAATCAGTGTTTTCCAAACAAGTCCTCGGAGACCCACTGATGGTCCATGTTTTTGCTCCCTCCCAGCTCCTGGTAGCAGCAAAAAACATGGACTGTCTGCGGGTCCCCGAGGACCAGACTGGGAACACTGGTGTTAATGAATGGAAATGTAAGGTGTGCATATGCCTTTTTATAAAAAAACACACCATGCTTGTTCGCTGTATATCTCTCAGAAGCCCATTAGTAAACCCAGAGCCTTCTCCTCCTCTTCCACCTGTGTGCTCCTCAGATCTACGTCCACCTGAAGGAGGGCTTGGGTCCAGACGGGCTGGACACGCTGAAACATAAGCCACAGCTCCACAGTCTGGTGGCCCGGCAGCTCTGCCAGAACCTGACGGCTCAGAACGCCATCATCTTCACGGGGCCCAGCATCACCAGCCTGAACCTCTTCCAGGAGTTTCAGAAGCAGGGTACGGACCCTTGGGCTTCTCAGCACGTTACCCCTTCTGGCCAGTCGCAGTGCATCACTTTATGCTGTCCACCATTCAGTAATCCAGATCTTCTCCCACCATGGAGATTGCTGACCATCCTCTAACAACGTCCTCCAGATGAGAGAGAAAGATTGAGTTTGTATCTCATCCATAAAGTATGGCTGAATGCGTGTCCCGTCCCTAGCAGGATCAATCTCACGCTCTGCAAAAATGATTCCGATCATCCTCGGCATCCGCCAGCTGCATGGGGCGGGGGGGGGGGTGGTTATGGGCCTGGAACGGCATTTAGATGCTTCTCTGTCAGGCTCGCCTTAATTACAAAGTTTGCTGTCGGCTGTCCTTCTGACGTCCTTTCCAAACAGCGAATGGGCTCTCTGTGCCAGCTGCCATATCACGGAGAGCTTCGTTTGTTTACACGCCACATGATGAGGATAGAGGCCTTTATTCTCAAACGCACACATACACATGCTTAGAGCAGGGTAATACACAAATGTAGAGAATAAAAGAGTTACAAGAATCCCAGCTGTCAAAGACAGTCAGCATTGTTGTAGCGTTAAGGGCAACCATTATTGTGCACCAGAAAATTGTTTCCCTTGTTCCACTGGTAATTGAGTCCTCTGGGAAACATCGGCCCCTTGCCCATGGTTCCTCCTGTGTACAGGCTGGAGCTGAGGCTCACCGTCACCTCGTCTCCACAGGCATCTACTGCTGCGGCTTGCTGAGCTCAAGGAAGAGCGACTGCACTGGCCTCCCGCAGTCTATGCTGGCGACGACCGGTGGGCCACCACAGCGAGGACAGTCGCGCATCAAGATGAACGGCGATATGTCCCTCATCAGCTGGTACAACAAGGGCCACTTCCGCTTCCTAACCAACGCCTACTCACCCACAAAGGAAGGTGAGGCCCGACTCACAGAATGGAGAGGAACCAAAAACTCCCAATTAGGGAGGGACAGAACCTCTGGGGGCCCAAAGCCAACAGGCTGCCCGACCCCCCGGGCATGCTGGCCTTATAGAATTCAAGGAGAATGAGGCTGCATTACACAGTATGTAAGCCACATCACCCACAGTGTCACAGTATGTAAGCCACATCCCCCTCTGTCACAGTATGTAAGCCACATCCCCCTGTCACAGTATGTAAGCCATACCCACAGTGTCACAGTATGTAAGCCACATCCCCCTCTGTCACAGTATGTAAGCCACATCCCCCTCTGTCACAGTATGTAAGCCACATCCCCCTCTCTCACAGTATGTAAGCCACACCCACAGTGTCACAGTACGTTAGCCACAACCTCCAATGTTACAGTATGTAAGTCACATCCCCAGTGTCACAGATCGTAAGCAGCACTCACAGTGACACGCTTCTATAGGACTAATTATGGAACCACATGATCAGCCAATGAGTCCGCCTCACTGCAATCCAGTCTTGTGGGCCGTTTGTGTGTGATGCAAACAAGGCGAGGCTGTATCAGCTGACACTGAGTTTACAGTTTACACAGCAGGAGTACAGCTGAAAGGGTTTCTGGGTATACTGAGTCACAGACGTATGCATGTGTAAAATTCCCTCTGCGTGGTAGAGGAAGCTCCTGCCTAACGTCTAATAGCAGCCTGTTATCTTGTCAGGTTTGCTTTTACATGCTATTTCTGGGCATGAGGTTCAGTTTAATATTAACCTGCTGTTTGTGTTTCACTGTGTCGTGTCCGGTAGTTTTATTATAACCCGCCAGTACTCACCATGCGGGGGACATAGCCATGTCTTCCCAGGGCTCAGAGCGGGGGGGGGGCATCACTGTCCCCCAGGTTGCTAAAAGATGGGGGCTTCTATTCTTAGCTGTTAATGTGCATACATAAGAAACACACATTCAAAAAGAAGTTTAAAAAGTTTAAACATTTTTTAATGTACTTCCTTTCCTAAAACATCAATCTGAAGCAGATTTCATAACTAAACATTTTGCCCTTTTCCTAACACATCACATCACAGCCATAGCGTATTTTATATAACCCATGTTAGCACAGGTTTTGCACGATTCGACGTGCCTGCATAAGATGACAAGCCCCTCCCCCTTTGCTCCGACACGGAGCGGGAATGAAGCCGGCTTTCAGGAGCGCCGTTCCAGTGTGTTAGCGCCATTTGCTGCTGAAAGAGGCCCCGAGACGTCAAAGGGGGACATCCGACAAGCGGCTCTGGCAGGAGATGGGGGGGAATCTCCAGAATGTCTCTCATTCAGGGGGTGAAGGGTCGCATGAATTAAACATGGGGGCCATTTTCAGCATGGAAAAAGGTCACCATTTAATCGTTTGCTTTATAACCCGCTGTAGCGCTTGGACTGGTGCTGTTTCACTATTAAACCTGGACAGCGTGGGGACAGTGAGCACACAGTAACAGCCCAGATACCCAGTTAGAGTTTTCTGTGGCGATTTATGGTCCCGTTTTAAGCCATGAAGAATGTTCCGGCCTCATTCTCTGCCGTTAGCAGTACCATCTCCAGATGCCGCCGTTGGGGTCGTGGTTATATTGGGGTCGTGGTTATACTCTCCACTCTCACTGCGGCCCGTGCTATGGATGGGCATGTACCCGCAGGTTATCACACCGGCTCCCCCTGGTGGTGAGTCGTTAACGTGCAAATAAATAATCGCTGGGTAAGTGAGAGCGCCACTGTGGACGGCTCTGCTCCAGAAGACAAGGCTCGCGGGCCGTGGGCGTGAAACCCAGCAGGCCTACACAGACTTAGCAGGCCTACACAGACTTGACTGGGCGAGGAGTTTTATCCGGCTTGGAGTTTTAATTTTCCCCTGTAAACTGTAACACATCTCAGGTCAGTCAGTCAGTTTCTCCTCTAACGAACTGGAATCATGCGACCGTTAGGAGCAAGAAAAGGCTGCTTCTGCTCACTCGTAGAAATTGCTGCTTGTTTGTAGCTGAATGGATCCACACGGACATGTTAATCCAAAACTCCCACACGTGCAGAAGTGTTGTCTTTGTTCTTATCAAAGCTGCTTTGCTGTCCTCGCCTCATGCTGTTCAGTTTGTACCCACCCTCCCCTGTCCTCCTGTTCAGCACCACCCACCCACCGCCCCCCAGGGACTGTCTGTACAGTTATGACATACACACCCCCCCCCCCTCCGGGATCTTTTGACAGTAAAGACATTAATTTCTTCGAGATATTTCTGCGAACGGTGTAAATAGAAAAGTGCACAAAGGAGGGAAACACGGTACCTCTCCAAGGTGCCTTGGTGATGTCACATCCAGGTAGTCAAACTCATTAGCTTGCATGCAAACTAGGGCACCTCATGTGAGTCCCAATTCGATATCGTGGCAGTACCATGTGTGTTTTTGGGGGTGGATTTGGTCCCTACCACTCTCGATTCCCGAGCTATACTCTTGGTCCTGCGTGACCAATGTTTTTTTCCCCGTATGTCACCCCAGGAGTGATCATCAAGCGGAAGAGCGGCGAGGTCCCTTGCCCACTTGCCGTGGAGGCGTTCGCTGCCCACCTGGGCTACATCTGCAAGTACGACGACAAGTACAGCAAGTGAGTGACGGCCCCACGCCTCCCCCACTCGACACAAACACAGTGACAACTGAGGGTCCGTCCGCAGCGGCATACTTGCTGTGCAGTAGGCAATGTAGTATGCGACATTGGCAGTATGTCTGAATCCTCAGTATGGATGAAACCATAGTCGAACAGTACCCAGCCGACCCTACTACAAAATTCTGAAGCGTGTAACCGATGGACGCTACACAATCCCACAAGGTCACTGGAACAGAAAAGAATGTCAGTCGCTCAGAAATTTTTTATCCGATTAGCAAGATGTGTTTTCTCTGTACAAATTTAAGTGGAAAACATTTCCCAGTTACATAAGCTGCATTAAAAATGTATTTTTTCATTGATTTTTGTTTTGCTTTTAATACTTTTTCATTTTCGCAGAGGTTGAGCTACGTGAAAAACATTTGGGTCATTTAATATTTAAGATAGCAACTGCAGTGTGTCCAAGTACAATCAGTCCTGCTACAACAAAAAACCTCACGGTCACTAAAACCTCATACTAAATTATACATATATCCAATGGGGAAAACAGGACTGAGACTCCAAAACACAGTGTGAACACAACACAAATACAACAGACTACGGTATGCAGAGGGGCACTGACGGCACCATGGCTACAGACAGTCATAAATAATAAAATAATAAATAATAAAAGCAATACTAAAAAAAAAAAAAGGTTGCTGGGTATTTTTTATATGGTAATTTCGCAAGTATTTTTAGAATTTAAGACTTTGATCCGTGCAATGCATGGATGTACAAAAAGTTTGATTCTTTTAGATTTGCAAACTGGTTTGATTGATTCGCTGAGAAGAACCAACTCAAAAGAACAATTTGTTCATCAGTTGGACATCACCATCATTCACTTGGATGTTTTTATGTGCAAGTAGTGCCAAGACCATATCGCATTATACTGCATAGTGTTTTTCTCTCCAACTGAAAGTTACATGATTCCGCGTTGTATTGGACTTGGGTACTAATATATCAGTTGTGTTAGAACTGATTCGTGGTGCGATGTCACACATTGTAGCAGGACTGATGGTACATTCACTCCGTTCTCATGCATACATACAGTTCATGCTGCATTAACAGCCCAGTAGTACTTACTGTGTAAGTATGTGATTTCGGATGCACCCTAAGTTAATATCACTGAGGCTCCACCCAGCCGGAACCCCCACAGCCAATGAAATTAAACTTCCCGCAAACCACCAATGGCCTGATTGGCAGAGGGGAGGACGTTTGTCAGGCAGTTAGCTGGAATGGAAACCAGGGAAGTATAACATATCTTTATGCTAGAGATTTTCTGAGTAAATCTGCACCAGCTGCCTTCTCTCTAGGGTACAGCAGCAGTGTCCCTCAGGGATCCCATTCCCCAGCAGCTGTGTCACCAGTGCTCCCCCTGCCTTCCAGGTACTTCATCTTCCATAAGCCCAACAAGACGTGGCAGCAGGTCTTCTGGTTGACCATCAGCATTGCCATCAACAACGCCTACATCCTGTACAAGATGTCGGAGGCCTATCAGGTGAAGCGCTACAGCCGGGCCCAGTTTGGGGAGCGCCTGGTGCGGGAGCTGCTGGACCTGGACGACTGCTCACCCACCCAGTGAGGGCACAGGAGAGACAGACCCGCCCGGCACACACACGTACGCTCACCCGCACACACCCGCACACACTGTCCGGCATGCTCTCGCACCCACAGCCACACACGCACGGTGTCTCTCTCTGTCACGCCTGCTCTTCCTGGGCACCCAATAAGAGCCCAGCCTCTGACTCTAGCCCCGCCTCCTCCGTCGTACCAAGTCGCATTCCAGCGGGTTCCAGAGGAACTGGGAACTGGTTTCGGATCTGGGAAGTGGGCCTCTGACCTTTCGCCCGCCAGATGAGGATCTCCAGGACCCCCTTACCGGAAGATTCCACCTGGGTGCCACACCCTGCCCGAAAACGCCAAGTCACGCATCGCGTCGTGACCTCGCCAGTTGCATGAGGAAGATGTCAGAGTCACGTAAATTCTGTTCTGCTTTAAAGTGATGGTGGTTTATTTTAGAGTAAGACTTTTGTAATTTTGGTTGGCGACGCGGTGCAGCGTCAGTCTGTACAGTAAACCTGTGTGTGTATATAGCCAATATCCGCACGGTACGATGTCTGTAGCGTGTAGCGTGTACAAAAAGGCCGCTGTCCTCCTGACATGGTCGACACACAACAAATATATATGCAGTATCCCAAATTCTGGATACATCCTGTTGTTTTCCACTGCAGTGGACAGTCAAGGGGCTGTGGCGGCAGTGACGGAGAGTGACAGAGATTCTGACGCGTGGCGACTTCCTGGCGGGTCACTTTAGCCAGCCCAGAGCTAACAAGACAACAGCTCTGCCCTCAGTTTGGTACTCGGCACGTGCAAAAGACAGGTTTAACTCATTAGACGGTAGCTAGTAATCAAACGAGGAGTTTGTCACAAGAATGGTTTGGGATGAGAAGATGGCTTCTGTAGACTTTTGTTTAGGTTTTTATTCATAGCAGACTGCCCCCCCCCCTCCCACCCGAGTAGGTGCATGGGGGCTGGGGATTGGCCCTTTCTATCACCACTCTTTTTTTTTTTTAAAACCATGAGTCTTCTGGGAAATCCCAAACACAGACCATTATGGTGGGGGGGAGGGGGAGACGGACATGTTGAAAGTTACTGCCAGTATTGTCAAGGACCACATCCCAAAAGTCCAACCTCCTCCTTCGCCACAAAGCTTATGCGGGCCGTGGACCTGAAAGCTCGTAGCTGACTGCAGTTGTGTTTAAATGTCCCACCAGCTCCGGTTGAGGTTTGGGAACGAGGCACTGACACGAAATAAGTAGCTTCTCAAATCAAGTGATTATTTCCCCCAATATATAGTTACAAACATTCAAATGCATATTACTAAGAAAGGCATCCATTCTGCCTCTCTGCTGCCTCCGGGGGGCACTCTGATCATCTCCACGTGTCCATCACGCAAATCGGGAACGGAATATTGATAGATACGGGGAGAGAGGGGACACCGGCCTGGCATTCAACATCGGGGGGGGGGGGGGGGACTTTAAGGGGACATTTTTAATGATGTGCAAACACTGTGAAATCAGGAAACTGGCTACCAGCTGAGAAGGGGCCGCGTTTGTAGAGTCGAAGTGGTATTTTAAAAGACGTTTGCACAGACTATCGGCACAGCGTTGACGTCTCGCTCTGTGCATCATAAACTACTGTATGTATTTCAATGTGTCGACATTAAAAAGACATAATTATCAGGATATATGACCCACGGTCTTGTGCTGCAATTAGTCACTAGGTTAAGGTTAAGACACACGACTGTATGTTTTATTTTGATTTTTCAGAAGCCGCCGCCATCTCAGTGTTTGTGTGTAACTTGCTTGTTCTATGAATGTTACATGTTTGTAGGTTAAGAGTCACAGTCTGTTAACAGAGGCTCCCCAAGTAATCAGAAAAGGGCCCTTTTCACTTATGCATTGAATCATTAATATTGTCCAGTCAAGTAAACAGGGAGTTAAAACCCAGACAAACCTGTTTTACTCACTCGCAGGATTAATGTCCTGGATGCAGTTGTTGAATTTCATCTAAAGTACTGTCACTTTGTTCCTGATATAACTACAGTTAAACAGTTTTGTGCTGCAGGATGTGCTATTAATTATCTGAGATATTATTATAAAAAAAAAAAAACCAAAGGGGGATTATAGTGAATTAGCAATGGGGGAAATTTCTCATATATAATATCATTGAACTTGTGAAAACTGAGGTTGAGTAAGAAGGTCTTGGTGAAGAAATGCTGACTTGGCAAATATGGCGAAGACAAAATCCTGATTCCCTTCCCAAGAGACGTCAGCGTATGATGGTACAAAAACTACATTATCTTTTAAAATCTCAGGTTAAAATCCATTTGATGTCTCTTACAATTTCAGAGCCAAACTCAAATAGCTGTGTTACTATATTTGAGCTACAGATTTACTGCAAAATCATGTGTATAGATATTTGTCAAACGTGAATCATTCTTTTGGTTTCTGTCTGTCCATCTCGAGGCATCCTGACGAAGTACTGGGACTGAAGGCAGCGACGGGCCGATGGGAGATGTGGGCAGATATAGAGGGTGCTTCATCTGACCTGAAGCTCAGACATTGGGCAGGGGGGCCACACACACGCAGAGGGCGGGGGAGCCACACACACACACACAGAGGGCGACACACACACACACACACACACACTTTTCCTATCATGTAACTGAATGGGAGGTAACACGGCACCCTTTCCCATAACACTCCAGCCAAAAAGATGACAATCTGATGTGATTGGCTGGATGAGGCAAACATTTCCAAAAGAGGAGCGACACGATCGCAGTGCCAAGCCTGACGGCACCCTCCCAAAGCAGATTCATCGGGGGGAGTTTTAGTCTCTGACAAACAGTGACCAAACGCTTTATGGTGACAGGTGTTAGATGTGCTAACGGGCAGCTTTAAGTTCCTGTGATCTGTCTAAAAGGCTCCTTCCACACTGACAAACTATATAATGAATAAAAGTGGACTGAAATACTGTAGAGTTTGTGGCATCGGTCATTCTGGCTGTAGCTGAGTTGCTTTATAAAGGCATTCACTTTATTTAATTTGACACAATGATTTTATAAGACGAGACTATCGATTATGTGATGTATGCATGGGTTAATGTAAGGTGCTTCAGCTGAAATGAGTTGAACTTCGCTGACCTCAGGGTTCCTACACGGTACAGAGATCGGTCATCATGAAACTGGTAAAGAGATAAACAAGCCACTCACTTCCTGGAGGAGAAGGTGTAAATGATTTTTTTTTGTTCAGATTTTGTGTCTAATCAATTGGTGCAATAACCTCGATTTAGGATCTGGTGTCAAAGTTCATACCAACTTCATATTTGTGACATTTCTTCTCTTTCTGACAGTGTCTATCGGTGCATGAAGGTATAATTTGTTAAAGATAAAATACTAATTTCACCATATAAGGCAGGAGTTTGGATGACGTCATCACCTGGCACGCGTGGATGTTGCTGTAACTGCGTCCAATAAATCCGTGAAAAAGACGTGAGCAGCACATTTTCCACGATGTGAAATTCACAAGGGGAACACATCTAAGCAACGACAGGACGTACAGGCAATCGTCATGGACCAATAAGGTGATGCGATTAACTGGGAAAGCAGGGCATACGAGTGGTGATTATGGTCTAAAGAAAATATTTTAGCTGTATGTAAGTGCTTGTAATATTACTGTGTATGTATGTTGTCTGAGCTGAGCGAAAATGCTTCAAGGTCTGACCAACACTGCAAAAATTCGATGTCTGATCTGTAACAAGATTAAATAAAAAATGTTTTCAGATGTCTTGGAAATGGCTGAAGCTGCCAACATCCTGTCTGTTCACTGTGCAACTCTGAGTCCCACAGCGACCTCTAGCGGGAGCCCAGATCCGACCGACGTTTGTTTGAGGCTATCGTGTGCAAACACCTCGATCCGTGTTGTACCATCAGATGGATTTACACACTTTAAATATACGTTTATTTTAAGATATGCCAGGATTACATTGTGAGATTATTTATATCAGGAAATCAGCCCTGAATTTTGTTAGAGATGCAAGAGAAGATTATAGGAAAAACACACATTGCTTCCTTCTAGAAAAGAAAACTGAATTACTCATACAGGATGATGACTTTGCAGAAACCCAGAATGTTGACAGGTTACTCAGAAATGCCCCTCCTATAGTGTCTGCTACACTTCCCTCCCACCGTGTTCCCTTCTCCACACTGCCTCTGAGCCCCTCACTGTAGCAGTGGTCACTTGTGCACAGCGCTTGTCCAGATCGACACTGGCAGTGATCTCCAGTGACCAGCTTGCCAACTCGCCACCCACTGACTGCTCTTTGATCAAAAACCATTAAACAGGAAACTCCATTGATTTCAAATGGCATCAACAAACCTGTCACTCCGTCTAACTGGATGTCAGGAACCTAAAACAGCAGTAACAGTTTTCTATCATGAAAAATCTGCAGTGAACTGGGTGACAGAAAACCTACATTTCGGTGAAATCTAAGTCTTCACAAAAAAAGACTCCTTATGCTCATATTGTTTGTTTTTATTATCATTATAACAAAAAAATAACACTCATTAAACGGACCCTGGAAAAAAAACAACAATCTGACCAATAATGCCTATAACTACATAACCAATCAAAAATCTGAACTACACCACCCGAGCTGCGGTCAAATGCATTCATTTATAACCCGGAAATTAGTGCAGAAGACTGAAGAGGGTGGCATATATTTTTATGTGTATTCAGATAATCCTTCACAACAAGTCATTTTCAGATTTGATTCTGAATAAACTTTTTTTGTTTGGCTTAAGCGCATCACTCTGTGTGACAGCAGAAAAGGCAAAAAACAAAGAAATAATGTTCAAAGATAAAACGTGACACTCAACACCTATGCATTTTGACAGAAGGAAAGAAAAGGAAGTGAGCAAAAACCATCCGACCACACAAAAGATGCCACATGAGAGATGCCACAACCTGCCCAATCACACGAGAGATGCCACAACCTGCCCAATCACACGAGAGATGCCACAGCCTGCCCAATCACACGAGAGATGCCACTACCTGCCCAGAACCTGTAAGCTTCTTCTCATTTTTATTGGAATGTTGGGCCTCATGGAGGTCACAAAGTCAGCCAATAACACCACTTTGAGTAATAAACACTTACAAAGTGTTTATTGCATGTACACATCCACTAAGGTTGACCTTCAAATACAATTCTGATATTAGATCATTTCAAAACTGCAGACAAAACATTTCATTGGAATAAATCAATATACACAGACCTAAAACCAGTTATTAAATCAGGATATGAAATAGATAAGGATAATGTAAGGGGTGATTTAAGTGTTCAAAGAGTTCCTCTTAAGTAAAAATTTTTATTGTATTAATTCCTTATTACGGTACTATTTTGGTCTTTTTCTGAAGAGAAATAAAAATGCAAATTACAAACTTTGACCACCCATATACTGCAGATGCCCTAGTAAACTATTTTGTATGTAGGCTTATGCATCTGAACATTTATTACAGCAACCGTCTAACGCAGTGAAGACTCGCGATCTTCTTACACAGCGAGCCGCAGGACCAACAAGAAAAACGACGACCCGTCCAGTAGCTCTCTGTCCGCGTGAGTCGCCCAGACTACAGTCCCCGAGGACGATCGCAGGTCGCTCCGAACCGGCCAGCGGTACCACCGAGCGCGGCCACTTACCTGCGTGCCACCCGGATTTTAAAAACTATTCAGTCTTCGTACACGCAAACACAGTTCGAAAACACAGAAGACAACCACGACACATTTATGTATAAATGCATTTATTTAACTTATTTTTTTGTCCTCATTCAAAGTTGAATTTCTGCCATATCTATAAAACATAGAACAATTACAAGCGCTATACAGTAGACCAGACTTAACTACAATTTTATTATAGATTTAATATAATAAAATTAATAGACTAGGTATTTATAATAATAATAATAATAATAATAACAATAATAAATGATAGCTTCGCCATGATTATGTAACTGTTTCACGGTTTTATAAACTCCTTCTCAGCTCTGCAACCCGCCTCCCGACCCCAAACTCTTTACATAATTGATTGCGTTTCCCTACAGTGATTAATACTCATTTTCACTGGAATCAAAACATGAAATATTACGGCTCGTTAAGATAACAATGGGTTTCTGTATTCTGCATCATCGACTGACTCTTGCACAGATGTATCGAAAGTATAAATAAAACAGTAAATAACTTTGGCACATTGTGCTATGTAAACATTTCATCCAATTAAAAACTATCAAAGTAGCTGTCATTCGTGAATTAGGTCTTTTTCCCGTAAAAATGAAAACTAAAACTTTGAGTTTCCTTTGAGCATTTTACAAAATAAGAAAGCTTGATTCAAACACTTTAATGTAGTTACTAAAAGAAATATGCGATGTAGTTCACACAAGAAATGGAATTCAGGTGGCCTCCATATGCAGCGGCGGCCGCTGAACGATGAGTCCAGTTAATGCTCAGGCTCTCCAGAGTTCCTGCCGTCCAATTTCAAGACGACAGGAAAATGCTGAAGAAGTTATTTTCGGACTCCATGTGAGCATCTTAAAAATATCAGCCTTTAGCAGACTCTGAAAGAGTGCTACAGCAAAAAAGCGAGACCGCGTCGCAATGCCCGAGCGACATATTAAAGTCCATCTATAAGAGTGACCTGTGACAAGCCGCGATAAGCCGGCGCCGACGTTTCCTGCTGAACACGCTGACTGCCCAGGAAATGCAGAAATTCTCCGCGAAACCAGAAAAAAAAACTACTGGGCATATACACCCATATACATATTATACATGTGTGCGTAACATTATACATGTTACATATACATATGTTTTTAAAGTAGTGAAAGCGAACATCTAATTACCAAAGTTGTTTCAAAAATAATTTCCCACAATGTTGTAATTCTTCCCTACTGGCAGAAGTCATTTCGGCTTGTTTTTCTGCTGAAGCCACGGACGTTGCCGTCTGTCACATTTTAAAAAGTTTCTGCTATTAAGGCGGACATGAGCGGTCCAGATGTTCTCCTTTACTGTTGTCCAGATGTTGTAATTCCAGTAACCTGGCAGTTCGTTGCTCCTTCACCGATCCGTTTGTAAGATGCATACAGGAAAACAAAGTCAGCGCTCTCGCTTACAGTGTGATTCATACCGAAAAAGGCAAATTGCTAAGGTTGGAAAAGACCAAGGATCAAACTCTCAAGTACCGGCACAACATGCAGCGCAATAACAGTATGCATGCATGCTGCCTGTGTTACAAGCGTTAGACCTCCAATAGTGTCAAAAAATAAAAAATAAAAAAAAATTCCAGAGACTGGGAAACACACACGCACACATACCCCCCCGCGCGCGCGCACACACACGCACAATGAACGCAATGCACATTTCGGACAGCGATCGCAGCATCGTCCTTAATACCCTGTAAAAGGCCCATTCCCGAAGTCACTCAGCCGATGGAAATACAGTGATATCACCAAGAGCCACATCAAGCGAAAAAGAAACCCGAAAAAAGTCAAAGCGGGGTAAGAGATCATAACAGGGATCAGTTCATATTTAGTTAAGTCAATTACTCTACGTAGCGTAATTAAAGAAACATTTTAATGTCAGAAGTAACGACAACATTAACAGATAATGCACTGATTTTGAAGTTTTCGTAATATTTACGTAAATCAATAATAGTAATAATAGTGAAAATATATTTGTGTTCTCCATACTGCGGCAGAGTACTTCGGGGACAGTTAGATAGTGAGGATCAGTAGCAGCCAGTGCTACGCTCCACTAAGGTCCAGCGGCACAAGCGTCCAGCTCCTTGAACCCTTTCCCCGTTCTTTGATGTACGACACCCTGGCTTAAAGCAGTTTTTAATTTTTTTTATTATTATATTATACAGAGTGCCGTCGGGTGTACCTCGTACAACAAAAGTAAGTCTTTCCCCGCCCCGAACCCCGTCCACAGAGCTGCTGGATGCGAACGGAAGGTAGGAGAGTCAGCACCGGGCAGTCGGTCCAGCTCCCCAAGGCGGCTCTTCCAGAAAGCGATTCAACCCGGAACGGAACCGAAAAAACTGCAGCAGCGCCCCCTCCCACCCTCCCCCCAAAGTCGGCCTGACACTGTCCGATCGTCAAAGTATGTCGTCTTTCCTTTCTTTTTTTTTTTAATACATTCGACAGGATGAAAAATCAGTAAGTCCTTATCCGAGGAATGCAGAGTAATGCAGGGAAAAGAAATGTTTAAAAATAATTAAAAGCAGAAAAAAGGGAAATAATTCCGTTTCACTATAATCAGGAAAGAAAAATCAACTCTCCAGAAACTGGACCGGGATGGAACAGTGAGGTATATAGTTGGATGGAAATCGGCCTGTTGCCACGTTCTCTTACTCTTTTTCAAACTCGGGCTTTTCGCTGTGTCGATCTGTGGCATCGGGCCCCTGTCTTCAGTACATGATAAGCATCGTTCTTGGTGATGGTGTCTTTTTCCTGTTGGGGGGTGGGCGTGGCAGGGTGGTGGTCGAGGACCGAGGGGGACGTGGCCTTTAGGATTGCAGGTTGAGGGTGAACTTCCACTGCTGCGAGAGGGAGGGGCTACATGTCTCCACAGTGAGCCCCCCACCCCTGGCATTGCGGCTGTCCAAGCACAGGTTTGTCCCCACGTGCCGCAGTTTGGAGTTCCCTTCGATCTGCTCCCACTTCTGCAGAGCAAACAGCAGGTGTGGCATAGGATAAATAACACAGTGCCTGTACATCCAGGACACACACACGCTACACACACACACACTACACACACGCTACACACACGCTACACACACGCTACACACACGCTACACACACGCTACACACACGCCGCGATTTAAACCAGGGCTGCACTGCTTTTGAGTTGGCAGACTTTCACACTAAACAGTGTGCCAAAATAGTACATGCAGCATAATGAGCGTGTTCGACACCAGAGTGTGCATCGTTTAGTGCACGAAAAGTTCCTAGAGGTCGCCCTGCAAAATCCAAAGGGTGCGATCACTGTGCACTGTCAATCTCAGAATCCCCCAGACGCGGCTTCTGACGTCAGGAACAAACTCGAACATGGCGGGTGAAGGTAGGGGCGGCTTTAAGTGCGAGTAACTCTAAATATTAGAATTCAGATAATTAAAAGTATGATAAAGGTATTAAACGTGTTGATAAACGCACATGATTTGTTCGGTACTTCATGTTACGCAGGACATCCGCCATTAAAGGTCAAAGGTCAGCAGTTCAAAGGCAGCGCAGTACGTCCGGAAAGTTTGTGCTCGCGCCTTAAACCAAAGGCCGCACTGAACCGATGACGGAAAATCACGAGGGTACACTACGGAATCCCACTTCCGATAATTATTCTGGTAATATCTCAAGAGCTTTAACTGTATGTTAATTCAAAGTGTAGGGAAATGTAGGGAATCGACATATTACCGGTAGATTGTTAACTCAAACTGCTCCTTCTATCAGACGATGCTGATTAATAATTCTGTGTCTGATTTTCAGACTCACCTGTCTGCTGTCATTTTCTCTGCAGCCCTGCAGTTTGATCTGGGAGCCAGTTGCCCGCTCCACCACGGTCAGGCAGAGGTCCATGTGTTTCACTGACTTGTCCTTCGTCAAGGCCCATTCCTGTGCAGAGGAAGGGGGCAGGTTTGAGTGCCCCCAGTGTCAGGGTGGTGCTCTGCGTAATGCTCTTTACAGACCTATCACACCCCAGACCCCACAACATACAAAGGCAGACTGTGGTGGAAGGTGCTGGTTGCCATGACGACCCCCAACCCTCCTACAAGTGCCCGGTGCAGGTGCCCACCTACCGGAAGCCTCCCCGGTGTGATGTCACCCAGTGCACACCTGGGGGTATAACGAATGTCTAGGTACAGTACCTGCGCGCGGAATGGTACCTGGTTGCCCCCAGCGTTGTGGCACTCGTACACGCCCACCACGCCGTCGGCAAAGTGGCCCAGTGTGTCCAGGCAGTTGCTTCCCTGCTGCAAGGCACCAAAGGCGATGTCCTGGTGGTCGGGAACTCTGTGGACCGATGGGGACGGGGTCAGAGAGCAGAGCAGGACGGAACCCGGCAGAACCCCGGCAGAACCCAGCACGACCAAGTACCGAAGAGCACCAACATACATGATGAAAGCAGTAGAAAAGGGGCACTTATCGTTATTATTATTATTATTGTAATGTTTTGCTTCAAACTGCTCACCACTGTCTTGACACATGGTGCAGTGCAGTATACTGGTTAAAGACCAGCACTCCCAGCATGTGCACCAGATAAGACTTGCGCCTGACATTCTAACAAAAATGGCAGAAATCTGAAAGTGTGAAAGCAACCAGCCAATCGAGCGGCTGATAGCAAAGCCCCCCCCTCGAAACTGCTACGCTGCAGGACGGTTCCCTGAGATTCAGGGGCACCGCGAGTGGGAGGCGAGGCAGGCGATGCGAGGCGAGGCAGGCTCACCGCAGCTCAGGGTAGACGTTGTCCAGGTACCACTTGAAAGGCTTGCAGCCCAGTCTCTTCTTCATCTCCAACCGGCTCTGGATGCTGGGGGTGGGGGGGGGGCAGAGGAGGTTCGACAGCCTCTGATTAGAATCTGCAAGCGTGACGGCTCATCTTAGAGATAAACCGCCAGCGCTAATTAAAGCAGAGCGACAGGCACAGCAGCGGCGTTTGAAATACCCCAGGACAGGAGATTGTGATCAGAAAGTGTGACGGAGAACAGAGCTACATCAGCGGGACGCCGGTGCTGAGAGAGGAGACCGTGGCAGGGTTTCACTCTGCTTTGGTGCCACAGTAAAGTGTGCGTGCGTGTGTGTGTGTGTGTGTGCGTGCGTGCGTGCGTGCGTGTGTGTACCCCTCCCCCCCCGGTGGTCCCAGAGGAGAACACCTACTTGCCGTATGGGACGTTCCGGGCCGAGGGTACAGCTGCATAGTAAAAGTTCTTGTAGTCATCCATCCACACCTCAGCAGCTCGCCGGGTATTCCTGTGGGGGGTGGGGGGCTGTTACCAACTGTGGGACCTTCAGGGATTATGGCAGAAGCCTAGATGGCAGGTCAATCCAGTCAATGATCTTAACACAGCAGTTATACAAACAGGCACAAGGTGGCAGCAGAGCGCCACTGTCCAGCTTGGGATTTTAAAACGTTTTTACTCCAATATGTTTGTTTATCGCCACCTGCACAGTTCGTGTCTATAGAGTATCAGGGCACTGAATCCTTTAAGTGCTGCAGAGACCCATTATTTTAAAACAGCCCTCAGAGATTTAGTGGCCAAGAAAAAAAAAAAGTTCTGCTTTTCATCTGATATTCCGGCGTTTCATCAGCTTTCATCAGCATTTCCCTCACATCTCATTCCAGCATCTCTCTGCAACTTAAGATTTTCTGACAGATTCGGCGCAGAAACTCCACTTTCATTTTTGCGGAGAAGGCAACCAATGATTCATTTCTTTTTCTGCACTTATGCAGTAATTAAAGGCATAGCAGCAAAACTAGACACTGCAGAGCCTTTCAAACATATGGCGGGAGGGATTTATATCATGATCAGGACTCATTCACATTCATGTCTGTAGCATTTGTCGGTGCCCCCTACAGGACAGGAGGACTCCTAACAGTCACCTGGCAAAGACCGTCCCGCTACCCCCAGGGAAGGTGTAGGGATGCTGCTTGCGGAAGACGTGGCCCACGCGGCTGCAGGGGATGATCTCGAGGCTGCCCCCACACTGCCATACGCGGAAGGAGATCTCTGTCGAGAAAAGGACAGAAAAGGCAGTCACCTAAGCTGTTACTTGATCCGTTACCCACCCCAATAAAACTATCAGTGCCCCGGTCATCTGGACGCACAGTATGGCAGCGGTGTGATGGGCCAGTTCCCTGCAGGCTCCGCCACTAGCTTACCCAAGTTCTCTCCACCCCACACATCCATCATCATGTCGTACTTCCCCAGCTCCTCAAAGTAGTCCTTGTCCATGACAAAGAGCCCCCCAGCTATCATGGGTGTCCTGAAGGAGGCAGAGGAACAGAAGTTTGGGATAAACACAAAGGAGGAGGATGTTGCCCCTATCTGGACCGACGGTCGCCTGCTTTGCGGCTCTGGGCCTGTCAGAGGAGCCGAAAGCAGTGTGGGACCCGAAAGCAGTGTGGGACCCGAAAGCAGTGTGGGACCCGAAAGCAGTGTGGGACCCGAAAGCAGTGTGGGAGCTGTACTCCTGGCTGGACCCTTTTACAGCGAGAGGCACTGCGGCGAGGCCGGCTTGTGGGGGTGTGGGGCTGCACTAAAGCCCCCCAGGGAGGCAGCGAGGAGCCGTACTTGATGGGGGCAATGGGGTTTCCCTGGCGCGCTCTCCGCTGCTCCAGAGTCATGTAATCCCACTTGAAGACCAGGTTCCAGTCAAAACCTGCGGGGGAGGAACGGCAACAGACTTTAGAACCCGGATTAGATTTGGGGGGGAACAGCAACAGACTTTAGAACCCGGATTAGATTTGGGGGGGAACAGCAACAGACTTTAGAACCCGGATTAGATTTGGGGGGGAACAGCAACAGACTTTAGAACATTACATTACACTGCTGGCCTAAAGCCGTCCTCCACCCAGCGACCTCTGAGACGCGCGCACACACTCATCAGGCCCAGGGCGTCATCTTGTGAGGGGAAGCTGACACAGCAACTACTGGCACCAGCCCGCACCCCCCGCACCCCCCGCACCCCTAACGCAGCTCCAGTGAGAAAGACGGGAGTCAGAGCCACGGACAGCGGCGATGGCAACTGACCTCCCTTGAGGTCCGCGGAGGCACCGACGTACTGGAAGTTGTCCATGTTGATCACGTCAATAATGGGGGAGACGACTCTTGTTCTGTCCTGCAAGACAGAGTGAGGGGTGAAAAAGTATCCAGCCATTTGGCGAAAAGTTTATACCCATTTGCTGCGGAATCTTTGCAGATGTCAACTTGACATACTACCTCGGAGCCCCAGTTGCCATGGTAACAGTGGTGCTAATTAAAACTCAGTACTGACCAACTATGTTTCAGATACCAGCGAGTTAAAAAGTGCCAGCTCTTAGAATAAAGGCGGTATTTGCCCATCAGGACAACAGAGATTATTTTGTCTGGACATGAATGGGCCACTCGAGGTCGAGCGGATCTCTTTCAGAAACATAATAGAGGCCTCCAAACATCCCTGTGCTTCCCATAAACCGCGATCGCTGCAAGCTGGGCTTAATCAAGTCGATATTCTTTTGCCCCAGAGAAAATTGGATACAAGCAAGGGCCTCCTGCAAACAAACAGAAATTCAAAGAGGCTCTCGACACTGGACACCAATTCACAGTAACTCCCCTGTACCAGAAGAGGGCGCTCTTTTGCTGGCAAAACATCCAAGAAGCCAAGACAGGCAGCAGCCAAAACCGGTGTATCTATGTGCAGCACAGACTACCTCAGGATAGGGGGGTCTGGAAGGGGGGGTCTGGAAGGCACAAACCTCAGCCACCCGCTCCAGCAGCGGCTCCAGCCAGTGTTCGTTACACTCGCAGTGGCTATCCAGGAAGGTCAGCACAGTCGCAGTGGCAGCATCAGCTCCTCGAACCCGGGACCGCATCAGTCCTAAGAGAAGGCAGCAGGACGGTGATAGCTGCCTTCCAAGCAGGAAAGCTCTCCTCGTTATTAACTTAACACGATACTTTCAATCACTAGGACAGTAAGCTGATAAGACAATATAACACACTGACTAGCTTGTAAGGAAAATCAGCCACTGACATTAAAACATACTGCAAGCCTTTTTTGCAAATGTATTCTCCTCTTGGAACATGAAAGACAAAAGGAAACTATGATTTATTAGGTATTTTGAATATGCTGACAGCTGTTTCCATCTGTTGCTTCAAGCTGACGTTTGATAAATGACAACCAAAGGACTGAGGCTTAAATTCATGAAAGAATCTTAGAGCTGCTCTTTGTTACAACCTGCTTCAGGGAAACTCACTTTGCAGCAAGAAAAATACAGGCAGGCGGGTAGCAAGGCACAAATTCAACAATATTAAGAAAAACTCGACCAAAAATGCACTTGGAGAGCAGTAACTAAGTTTTGGAGTCAATTTCACTTTTCATGGACCGGAGGTTTGACAAAGTAAAAATGCTGAACAAAGATCAAATTTATGTTCAGACATCTGGATTTGAAAACAGAGTTATTACAGTCTTCATGAGTTTCAGTTCCATTAATCTTTCTGCAAGTCAGCCCCCCCCCCACACACACATTGCCCAATAAAGTTTTACTTCTCCTCAGAACCCTTGCCTGCTGCCAGCAGAGGGGGATTGTGGGTAAGAAATGGATTTGTTTGTTTATGCCTGTCCCCGGATAAATGCACGCTCTGTGCTTGTACGAGCTTTGCAAATGGCAGCTTCCACAGCACCGGCTGGGAAGTAAGAATCAGACGAGGAGAATCAGATCTGGCTTTGGAGACAGTGTTGCCGGCTGGGAAATTCAGTTTACATGACTGGGAATCAGACAGAAACTCAACATGCTTTCCAGTACGATTTTAAGATGCATGTTCCTCATTTAGTCACTGGATTCTAACTGACATGGAGAGTGTTTAGGTACTCAGTACCATACAGATGCTTTGTATGACACATACTGATTTGATATATAAAAACATGTGGTATTTATCCTTTGTTATCAAGTCAAATCTGCAATTCCACTGGTCGTCCAACCCGCAGTGTTGTCGGTTCGAATCCCACGTCAGGCTCATGTAGGCACAGGATCATGTGGGGTTCCTGTGGCTTCACTGGTCTTCCCACGCCATCCCAAGACACAGCGTCAGGCTAAATGAAATCTCTAACTGCCCGTGGCGTATTACTGTGGGCGTGACCACGCACAATGTGATGGATGGGCATCCCATCCAGGGTGCAGCCCAGAATAAGCATTCAGAAGATGGATGGATTATTACATAAAAAGCACTTAATAATATGCATTATTAATCATAGCAAAACAAAGCAAGTGAAAACAGCCTGTTTTCGGGAATGCCTGCACATGCCAGCTTTAATCCCATCTGACCCTTTTAATTAACGAGGGCTGACAGAGCTGATAAATCCAACCATCAGAACAGTTAACACCCTTTGACACTTTGGTCCTGTGTGAACGAGGCTGTTGTTGGAGCCAGGCCCGGCCCGGCCCGTGTAAACGCTGCTTTTCAGCGCTATGCCGTGTGTCCTATTAGCGCTGACGATGCCGGCGCGAGTCCCCGAAAGGCTCAGGACGCCCCATTCGTCAGCCTCGGATGCTCCCTGCGTGCCAAGGTGAAACTCAAGGGGGGGGGGGGGGGGCTTCCTCTCTACCTCACCGAGACAATATGACAGAACTCTGGTACGAGGGCAGCCACTGAAGTGCCCAAATTGTCATTCGACACGCGGAGGCACCGATAACGCCAAGAGGTGATTAATGCCACGTTTCACAGGGCTACTTCTCCAGTGAAATACTTGCTCACCTTCACGCCGGTCATTGCGAAGGACTCTCACTTTCTCGATCTTGCCCAGTAAGGAGCCATCTTCAGCTGTAAGCAGAGAGTGTCGACATCAACGTATAGCCAGCCTCCCGTGGGGGGGGGGGGGGGGTCACACAGCTAGGCATGACGATGACCCTGGGCTGTGGGACAGAGAGAGCAGCACTCACGATTGTCACTGTAGTCGTCCACCAGGATAATCTCTTTCACAAGATGAGGGGGACTTTTCTTCAGGACACTGGAGAGGGGAGAAGCAGTGAGACGCTTGAGCTGGCCAGGGCCCACGGCAGCCCCACGGCGGGAGACGCTGCCTGCGCCGGACGCGGCTGTACCTGACCACGGTGCGCAGCAACGCCGACCGCGCCTCGTTATGGAAGGTGATGACCACGCTGGACGTCGGCAGGTCGGTCCTCCATGACTTGTGTCGACAGCTGATAAAGAGAGACGGGGGAGAAGACAGTTTTGGGAGGTGCCATTCTATCTGGTTGGGTGGAATCGGGACCATTACCTGCAAAAATCTAACGCTACAACAGCCAAGCAGAGACTGTGCCTCAGTTATGTGTGAGTCATGTGGGCTACAGCAGAGTCAGGCAGCACAGGCCTGGTTTGTGCAATTAGCCACTCAGGCGTCTGACCCAGCCAGCCGGAAAGGGATGGGTACGGCGTGCTGATCCCACTGGGATTTCTCAACAGCGCCCCCTATAAACAGCCAGCCCAGCGCAACTTCCACAGTGATGGCAGATGCGACAGCATTCTGAGTACCATCCGGCCTGCTCTTACAGCAGCGAATTTTTATACGAAGGCGAAATCCGTATTAAATTAACTTCATGTCACAGGAATAGCCACGCACTTCACCCTAATTAAAACACTAAGCCAACCAGAATCGATTATAATGTACATTAATTAACGACATGCCAGATTAGCAAAGATGATACTGAGACTTCCCTATTCGGCAAGCGACCTGCTGAGCTCAGGACTGGAGCGATTTTCTTTAGAGCCCTACCCTTCACATCCATTAGGGGGCAGTGCACTTCCTGTATATCATGCCAGAATGAGAGCTGGGTGATGAAGGAAGCCGAAGCACCCAGGCCAGGAGATGAGATTCCCTGTGACATTTAGCAAACGTATCTCTAACTGGGGCTGCATGTCTCCACCAGGGCCACAGTGCCAAGGCACCGGAGTCATACCGCTAAGGTACCGAAGCCATAGCGCCAAGGAACCGGAGTCATACCGCTAAGGTACCGGAGTCATACCGCTAAGGTACCGGAGCCATAGCGCCAAGGAACCGGAGTCGTACCGGAGCCATAGCTCCAAGGAACCGGAGTCATACCGCTAAGGTACCGGAGTCATACCGCCACGGCACTTGAGTCATAGCGCCAAGGAACCGGAGTCATACCGCTAAGGTACCGGAGCCTGCTAACTTGACACATGATGATAAACACACGCCAGGCCCATCCTGTTTTTCCCCACCTTCCCAAAGCTCTCATCTAAAGCAATTCAGAAGGCATGGGAGGCTCTAGCTCTGCCGATGCAATAACAGAGTATCCTCTGGCTCAGCAACATCCATCAGAGATGGCAGCAGTTGGCCTGCTGGATCCAGAACTGGCATGTTTTTGAACACAATTTCAGGTTTTCAGTTTACAGACACCCGCTACCCATGTCTGATCCAACCTTTAGAGGCCAGTATCCCTAGGAAGTTAGAATAATAAAAAAAATTTGCGAGAGGGGATGGGAATGGGAGAAATCAGAGCCACCGTCAACCAAGAATTCACTAGACTCTCACCCAGATGATTTCTATAACTCTGGAAGTATCCAAGCTGCAAAGAAAGACATGCGTGCTTCCTGTAATGGAGACCAGGGGCCCCTCACATTCTGTCAGGCGGGGAGGGGGACTTACCCAGCCCGTACCTTGACGGCCAACATAATGCTGCCCCCTTCGCGACCTTCTGCCTTGAGTGTGATTCAGCTCAGACTCCCAGGCTAATTACCATGCAGAAAAAGCCTGGATGCCAGATCGTCGCCACGTCCTTGGAGGGGCAGCGGAAAGATTTGCCAAAAAACGATCGCCATCAGGCCTCGTGGAAGCATTCAGGAAAAAGCGGGGGGGGGGCCCAGGAGTAAAAGGTAGCAGATGTATCCCCCCCCCCCCCCCTTCCCTGAGGCAGCTCGGGGTAAGGCCTCACCAAGTGCTGAAGCTCCTTCTACACAGACAGACCAACAAGGCCTGGCTTTGAAATGGCTCAGAGGAGAAATCTCACACATATGCATTTGACAGAATTAGACCACGGGAGTGAGGGACAGAGCTGGAGGCAGAGAGAAACTCGAAATATCCGTCCCGACAAAACCCCCAGACGTCTCGGCCATGGATGACGCGGATGATAGCTTGGGCGGCAGGCTAACGCTGGCATTCTTACGCATTCGTGGTGCCCAGGGAGAAGACGCTACCACACTGGTACAGCTTGGCCGGTCTCTGCCAGATGAGGTGGCAGCTCACACAAGCCCACCGCCCTGATTGTTCTCAGCATCTCTTTAGCGGCATGGGTCTCTGGCGTGACGGTGCAGAGAGGTTCCTAGGAGAAGAAGGACTCTCAGCAAAAGGCATGTTGTTCTCCCTACACTCCAGAAGACCTCGGACTCCATCTGAGCACCCATTCCAAACTCCAATGAGGTGACGACTGGATAAAATCACACGCAATGTATCAAGGTCTTATGGGTAACGATCTTCAAAGACAAATGGATGATTTTTTCCCCCTTAATGGGACAGGGGAACAGTGGTGATTTCCTCAACTTGCATCAGATGTGCCAGGACTGTAGCTAAGGTTTGCTTGCAGACTTTGTGAAGAGGGACACAAAGGACTGAAACTACAATACCAGATAATGTCCCTCTACATACAGTTACTGGCCAACAAGTACTCATGTGACTTCAGTCCCCTCGTGAATCAACAACAAACGATCTTCATGAACATTAGTCATTAAAATGGATGAGGGGTCTGCAAATTAATTTCAATGTTTGTATTTAGCGTGGACAAGTTCTGGACACCTTTAGCTCAAAACACCAAGAGCATCCTTCTAGAACATTCCCGGGAGAGTCAGCATCGGTTCTGGGAGGTTAGATGTGTTGGTCAAGAGCAGCATCCCATGGAAGCCCTCAAACCAGCCCGGCCCCATCAAAAGAACCGGGGACCAAGCAGCTAATATAGGGGAGCCCCCCTCTCAGATAATGCCTGATCTCAGAGCAGTGAAGGCCTGATGAGTGGAGTGACCTGGCTGTCAGTTTCCAACCATATTTATCCTGATACGAATGATGAAATCAGAGCCAGGAACAGACGGAACAGCGAAAAACCACTTTGTCAAATCACTCAAATGCCAAGAACCCTTGACAATATTGAAGGCTGGCTGCTCTAACCCTGACTAAATTTAGTGTTACTAAGCGCCCGTCATGTTCGAGGATATATATATATATATATATATATATATATATATTAAAAAAAACACACATGGAAGTAGGTTTTATTACAGAAATCAGGGCTGTGAAATGCGGCTCAAATCAGCATTGAAAAACACGTCACAAATTAAAAACACTGTTATCAGGCAGATTCTCAGAAACTAGTTATTACAAAGAAAGACGTGCTACCTGTACTGAATACTGAGAATTCCCAGTTCACAGAGAAACTTAATTTAGAAATAAAGCTAAGCCAAAACTATTGTCAAGAGGCAGAAACTTCATTCTGTTTAATTTCTGAATGCACATTTCATAATTCAGACAGCGGGCGTCAGGCGATTCCCGGTATATTATTCCCCTGATGAAGACTATCATCCGCAAATCAGCTGACACTTTTTTTTTTCATCCAGAAGTACCTCAGAAGTTTATTCTTTTCTCTCGCGGCTAAATTCTGAAGCTTCTGCTGGCAGACCTCCGGCGGGGACTTAAGCCTGTCACCTTCTGTCACGTCTTAAGCTTCCTATAAGGACAATGCCGCGCTGCTGTATGACAGACTGCGTCTATACATTCAGTGACATTCGAGAAGCCTGCACAGGAGGCAGGAACTGTAGGTCAAATGAATTATAATAACAAAAGTGGACAAAAGGACAGATTTCATATTTACTGTTAAGCCAAGAGCCGCCATATCAACAGAAAGGCAGCCATTTTAGACAGATATGAAAGGAAAGGTCATATCTTAAAGGATAAATGTCAAGTAACGCAGTATCAGAGACTGATAAGAAAAGGTCCAAACCAGCACTGGAAGCAAACGGGAGAGCGAGTGTGTCCCCACGCAGGCTGACAATGTGGTCTTTTTGGTCCAAATTAAAGTCTCCTCGACCGATGCCAGAGTCCATGGAACTCCCGTCCCGGCTCCACCCAGCACACCAAGACATTTCGGCAAAGTACAAAGGCATCACCGGTGGAGATCTGAGGGAAACGGCGCAGGACGATTGTGGATAACGGGAGGAGAAACCAAGCCAAGACTAAGCCGGCTGGAAGACCATCATCCAAAGAAGAGACAACAGCAGCCGGGGGGGCCAAAGAGCCACCCCCCCCAGGTGGCCCTGGGTCTGCAGACGGCAGGTGGGCCACCGGTCAGGTGAGGTACAGTGATCATTAGTGAGGAGCTCTAAGGAGCTTGTTCTGGCGGGTATCAGCGATTAGGGGAGAGCTTTGAAGGACAGCTTAGAGGCCTTGGCGGGACAGCGGCCAGGACAAAGCCGGATTTGCTGCATGATTGATGGCGCCGTGACCTCTGGCAGAGAGCAGCACCATGTGCCAAACGCGCCGGCCTATTACAGCGGGGGGGCGTAACGCGTGTCACTCTCTGTTCTAGAGACAGAAGCATTGGCAATAAATATAAATAAAATGAAACTTTCCCTTTGTCCCAGTACATTGTAATGTGTCGTACAGCCCATTTTGCTCTCCTATTTAAGACATAAAAACACATGGAAAGAGTCAGTTGTCCACCCTGTGCCCCCGGAGCTCAAGCGCCCAATATAAACATGGCTACTCCACATACCTGGTTGAGCCACACACTACCCCAGAAAGCCTGCTGAGAACTTGGGGAAACTTTTTTGTTGGCCCGTCTGTCGTACCGTCATGCCTAAATTAACCTAGATTGATTCATTGAAATACCCGACACCATACAAGTATGTGAGGCAAAAAACAAAATACCTGTAAGGACAGAAAGTTGCTCAGGATAAGTGTGCTACGGCTATGAGGATAACATATTCATGGTACAGAATCTCTGAGGAGCGACACCGTTTACGCGTCCTGGGTGTCCTTCATCCCAAAACGTGTCACAAGCACAAAGTTCTGTGTCCGGATGGGAGCTGGCAAAGCACTTTCTGGACTGGGTCCTCTACGGACCTCCAGTATCCCAGAGTGCTCCATTTCTCAAACCAATGCCAGCATTAAATCACAGACTCCTGGGAGTACTTCTGC